AAACAAGTATATATCAAATATGTTACTAAATCACAATCGCTAAAATGTTTGTGTTGCGTGTTGAAATGTATAAGCTTTGCAGCGCTATTTATAGAACTTCATTGTTTACTACATTGACCTCGACATTGACATTGTATTTCATATAATAGCGTTCGATGCTTTATACGCCTATGCTCAGGTTGAAGGCTTAAATATTCAAGACAAAATACATGTAACAATAACTAAATACCAATAGGCAATAGCTCATTTAGCCTAAGCCTGACTGGCTAAGCCATTCTTTCTTTGAATACCACGACATTTGAAGACCTTCCCGATCGGGCATGTCGAAAGATCTGGCGTTTGTCTCTGCTTATAAACAATAATATTCTGCTCAGCAGAAAATGGTTTCTTCACCAATTCCCAAACAATATCGTTAGCTTCGAGTAAAGAAGAAGTCGACATGCTTGAATGACCTGAGGACGTGTTCATTCAGGCTGAAAGCTTCGAGCTAAGAGGCTGTGATCAGGTTGTGTTGCCCGTTTAGTCATGCAAATCGAAAATTGCATGACCAAGGCGTCAAAAACAGCCGCATTGCGCGTGCGCGAACGTCGTAAGCCAATCAGAAACCAACAAACCTAATATAAAATAATACAGCTAGTCATGAAATTTTGAAAGTGCATGACCAAAACACACAGCGAGCAAACCACGCAGCAATCACACGCAATCTTTTTCCACGCGCTTACGCAACCGGTCATGCATGTGAAAATATGCAGGACCGCTCAGTTGCCAAGGTAACAAAGCCAAAATCAATAACATACGAGAATATTTAGCAAGAATATCGCCTAAAGACCATAGATTTGGGTAAACAAAATAATAAATAAAATACTTAGGCGTAGAAGTGCAAAGATAAAGTATAATTCTATTGTAAACAATTATATTGAACTGATTTTTAAACATTTTTGGGGAAATTTTTAGTCATGCACTGCATGACCTGCATGACCGCTGGCTTCGCCACTGGTAATGACTGCGCTTTGTTTATGCTTTTGAATAAAGTGAGTTATCTATAAAGTGAGTTCTCTTATTATGCAGGATGGGATTCGTTATGCTTTGACTAGCAAGATTTTTCTGACCGGGATTGCATAACGTGAGTTTATCCTATCAGATTCGTTTATGCTTTTCATAAAGCGGTTACTGTATAGAATGGGATTCTTTATGCTTTGAATAACACGAGTTATACCAATCAACGACTGATTTAACAAAGTTTCACTATCCGTTGGATAGCGGTATCCGACCTTCGTACAAACTTATATTTAAATTAATTTAACTATTTAATAGAATAATGTACGAGTTAATCTGAAACTGTTTTCGCAGTATACAAATGAACAACAATTGTTCAGTGTCCAGTATACTATACAAAATTAGCTGTACTGTCTTTCGGTCTCACTGCTCAGCTCACGTAATAAATTTGTTCAATAAATACATCATTTCACCTCTTAACTCAGTGACAAAAACGCGATGTTAATGATGTTTACTAACTGTTTTTGCAGCAAAAATCGATCGAAAATAATTTATTTCACATTTGGTACGTTTTACGATCGATCTCGACGATCAGCGGATAGTGTGCAAGTAGGCGTATTTCATATAGGACAAGCATAAAGCGATGATAAACGATACGAACATTTTAGCGACATCCGGGCCCCTCTGAGCATAGCTCCGGATCCCTGGTATTGCCCCCTGCCCCCTGCCCTCGCCTCGCATATGTCACAGGGCGACCAAAATACACTCACACGAAATAAAAATCAACAAAACATTGTAATATCAATCGAAACAAGTTCCCAAAATACTCATAAAATGTACGTAAAACCGTCAAAATACTAAAATCGTCCAAAAGTCAACAATGTTCGAATACTGAATTCTTTTTCCGGGGCTCATTACAGTTTGTCAGGGCTCGCGCCAGTTCTCAGTCCCCAGAAGCGGGAACATCCCCACCCCCAGTCGAGGAACAACCGAGACAACCATCATCGCTGTTCACCTCTTCTAGAAGACATAGTAGACTGATCATATAGACTGATCTTTTGTATTCTCCCTGTGGCGTCTTTACCACCACGACTCTAACCACTTTATCAGCTCTGGGATAGACTACCGTTATTCGTCCCATTGGCCACATCCCACGAGATTGATTTGAATCAGCAACAAGAACTAGATCCCCGACTTTCATACTACGAGCTTTCTCCGTCCACTTTTTCCTCCTCGTTTGATTTGGAATGTATTCAGTAATGAATCTTTTCCAGAAGAAATTCGCTAAAGCTTGCGACTGTATCCACACTTTCCTAGAGTTTATCTCCTTATCTTCAACATGAACATCAGCAACAGCTGGATTAGCACGCAAGAGGATCAAATGGTTTGGGATAAGTGCCTCCCAGTCACTTGCATCACTAGATACTTGGGTGATAGGCCTACTATTTAAAATTACTTCAACTTCTACCAACGCCGTTCTGAGCGCCTCCTTTACAACAACCGTTCAGGATAGCTTTCAGGGTTCTCTTTGTAGATTGGACCAATCTTTCCCACGCACCACCAAAATGAGGAGACAAAGGTGGTTGGAAATTCCATTCTATACCCTGCAGTGTCAGCGAATTATGTATTTTCTCTTCCTCGAGTTGAGTAAGGCAGGCTCTTAACTCGTTGTCAGCCCCGACAAAGTTTGTTCCGTTATCACTGTAGATTCGTTTTGGCCGTCCTTGCCTGGCCATGAATGTTTTAATGCCATTAGGAAATGGTCGGTAGAAAGGTCATGCACGAACTCCAGATGACACGCACGAGTAGCCATACAAATGAAAAGACAACCGTGAACTTTGAGGGTGGACTGCTTTTCTTTGACAAACATCGGTCCGACGAAATCGACTCCGGTGTTCTGAAATACCACACCAGCTTCTAATCGACAAGCTGGAAGATTTCCCATTTTTTGCACGTGTGGTTTAACTGATTGTCTTCGACAATAGGCACACTTAAATTTTCGGTTTCGTACCATTTGTCGTCCGTGAATAACCCAGTACTTTTGACGAATCAAGTTCAGCAGATGTTCCGTGGGAGGGTGATGGTATTCACAATGCATCTCATAAATTATTAAGTGTGTTAGATGATGTTTTTGATCTAAGATGACCAGATGTCGCGATTCGTAAGGAATTGCTGCTCGATTAATCCGTCCTCCGACAACCAAACACCCTCTTTCAATCCTGGGATCAATAGCTTTTAATCTGCTCCGTTTCGAGGCGTCACTTCCCTTTTATAATACTTTCAACTCTTCTTCAAACGATTCCGACTGCACTTTCTTTACCAAGAAATCATGCGCTACATTGAGCTCGCCGATCGAAAGGTGTCCAAACATACGCGCGTCCGTTTTCTTTCTTAAGTTGGTCACAAAAGCACATAAGCCATCACTCGTCTTAGCTTTTTTCAGATACGAAAACCGATTCCAACTGATTAAAGGTGTTTACTCTTAAAAAGTACCTGTCCACTTGGTTTCCTTTCTTTCTTCCGTGTCCCTTTCTGATGGGAGGTTCACTTTATTCATTGGCCAATTCCCCTTTCCGTCTTCAGGCTAGGATCTCCGGACCACTCAGGTAACGGTGTTCCATGGTCAACTCACTTGGTGATGACCCACGAGAGATGTCATCAGCAGGATTAACATCCGTAGGAATATATCTCCAACTCACCGTATCTGCTCCCAACTTGGTTTCCAATTCATGAACAACTGAATGGATCTCAGAAACACGGTTTCCTACGAATTAGCTTTGTAGCTAGAACTTATCTGCTTTATCCAATGTAGTACCGTAGTCGAATCGCTCCAGAATACAACAGCATTGATCTCAATTGTCAGTTCTTGAACTACAGTCTCCGCTAACCTCGCTCCGATTAAAGCTCCCATCAATAGGCAATTCCAGCTTTTAGTTTATGCGTGCAGGGGACGATGGGAAGTAAGGTATCATATTGCTGATTATGCTGAACCTTTAAGGGTGCCACTCTACCCTTTCCGGCAATAAGTCGACACTCGACCGTCCCATCCTCGAATTCACACCTTAGATACGCACAGGCTCCATGGGACTCTTGACTCGCATCACTGAAAACATGAATCTCTGAACTCATCTTTACAGGGCTTACCCATAAGGACCCTTGGGATCGCGATATTGCTCAATTCTTTTACTTCTTTACACCACGAGAACCATTCCTTCGGTTCATCATCATTGATTTCATCATCCCATTCGATCTTCTTACGATGCAATTTCTGTAACAACATCTTAGCTCTGAAAGAGAATGGAAGTACCAGCCCACGTGGATCCCAAATAGAGAATGATTGGCTGAGGATCTGCCGTTTGGTTTTCCCAGGTGTACCAGCAGGACCCGTGAATTTCAAGGTATCTTCTTCTGCGTCCCAAATCAATCCTAACGCACGGTCGGTTGGTAGCTTACCACCAGTCAACTCTAACAATTTCAGTGATCTTTCTTCTGATGGAATCGTAGCTAACACTTCAGGATCATTTGTTAACCATTTGTGTAGGTAGAATCCTTCACGTCTGAGAAGTTCGGTCATTTGCTTCCTAATCTCAATAGCTTCCTGCTGCGAGTTTGTTGATGGTAAACCGTCATCCACTGACTCCCAGGGGAAGGTCCGCCCCGTTCTCTTCTGCATTTCGTCTCATTGTATAATTGGCTCTGGATGGAGCAGACACTTCGCCAAAGACAGTCTGTTCAAACTAATACACATTAGGCTCCAAGGCATCTTCGTTATCATGCCACAAGAATAGTAATGTTGGCTTATCGCGGTCCGGCAGACGAAGCATATGGTACATTTCCTTCACATCTGCAGCCAAAGCAATTTGCCCTCCACAAAATCATAACAGTAGTCCCAAAAACGAAGACAACATGTCCAGACCTGTGTAAATGTTATCATTCAGACTTTGTCCTTGATACTTCGCTGACGCATCATATGCTCGTCTCAGGCGCTGTGGCTTTTTCAGGTTGATGACATATCTGTGAGGTAGGTCCCATGTCACATCACTCGTTTGATTGATTTCTTCTTTCGTTAGTTTCTTTACGAACCCTTTTCCAACATCTTCTTTAATCGACTTCGAGTATCTTTTACTCATTTCAGGACGTAACTTGAACTTCTTATTAAGCGAATATAGGCGTTGTAAAGCCATTCCACAATTGTTGGGCAATTTCGGTTCTTTCTCTCCCCAGAGAAGTCCTGATTCATAAGCATCTTCGTTCTCAATCTTTCTCGCGGATTGTTCCATAATTTCGAAGGCACGTTTATCTTCAATTGACCTTACAGGATTTGCAACTTTAATCACACCAATAGCATCGACCGCTGACTGAGCCAAGACCAATCGCTTGAGATCATCATCAACATTGACTTCTCTATGATACACTTTCATTGTTGAATACTGCAAGACGTTTCTCCCCGGAAACCAATTAGTCACTGCCCAGCCCAGTCGTGACTCCACCGCATATGGATATTGGTCGTGGTCAGATACCTGTTCAGGTTTCACAATCCTTCTCGGGAGTATCAACTCGGAGTTGTTGGTGCCAACGATGACTTGTACTGGCTTAGTATCTGTGTCATGTATATCCAAATCACGCAGATGTGGAAGTCACGTTTAAGCTCGGACCATCGCAGTTTCTGGTCAGGGCCATTTAGCTCCTTTATTGTCTTAATGTCACGCAAAGAAAGTTTCTTATCTTCTTTCCCAACTCGAGCAATTTGACACTTACTGATGTGCTTTGAAGACACAACTCTTTGACTGTTTATCCCTTGTAACTGAAGGCCTATTTCTCTGCCTTCCAAACCTAATTCGACTGCTAGCTCTTCGTCCATCAAGGTTGCGTTACGGCAATTGCTAGATAGTATACTTCAAAATAAGGTTTCCGTTTTTATATCAATTTTTAAAATAATTAAAATAAGTTAGGGTTAGGTTAGGGTTTAGGTTAGGGTTAGGTTAGGGTTAGGGTGAGGGTTAGTATTAGGGTTAGGGTTTAGTTTTGCGTTAGGATAGTTTTTTCTACGTTATAAAAACGGAAACCTTATTTTGAAGTATACTATCTAGCGATCACCGTTGTGTTACAGCCATTATCTCGTAAGACCATAACTGTCTGCTTTTTTCCGTTCTTTCCGTAGAAAACTACTGGTAAGACTTCTACCAAAGTCTGTCCTTTACCAATACCCCGTCTTACCATAAAACCCAACATTCTATTCATTAGTGGGTGGAGGAGGTGGAGGTGGTGGCGGCGATTTCGCCGTTCCATGTTCTTGTTTCGTGGCTTTCGCTCTTTCTATAAACCTGTTGTCCACTTCATGGACTAATGTATGATGGCGCATTCAATAGCTCTCTATTCGACATTTCACCTTTACTTCACACTGACTCAATCTATGTCCTGGAGTTAGACAAGACACAGTCTGTTCGCAAGCATGAACTTCCCTTTCCCGTCTACCGACATGTTTGTAAACTTTCGAAATTCTTGTAGTGTATGTTTACCTGATTCATGTATCGGGCATTTCGCAACTGTACGTGGTCTATTTCTATTTGAAAACTCATGCATGGCTCCGCAAGTACTCCAGACTCGTATCGATCATCTCTTGTATCTTTGTAACTACCACATTGTCTGGAACTTTCCTTCTCTCCTTTTTCCCTGGCATCCATCGTTGTTTCAATTCACATAATTTCGCTTCCTTACCTTCGACCTTTTCAACCCATCGAGCACAAAGGCGAGTTGGGAGACGCTTAACATATGATTCAGGTAAGTGAGCTTTTAGTTCATGTGCAAAGTCAAGTTCTTTGTAGACACCAACGAGCTCTGAAACCAATTCTTGATACTCTCTGATTTTCTCAGCGCTTTCATTTAGAATGTCAGGAAACTCATCAATTTGCTTCTTTGCGGCGGCTACTACCACGTCTGGCTGACCAAATCGATTATCTAGGGCTTGCCACGCCTCTTTATATCTCTCAGATCCTGGGATAAATCTCTTTAAGCAGGATTTTGCCGACCCTGTCACAGCATCAAGAAGAAATTTGAGCTTTTCAACATTGTCATACACCCCTTTCCGTTCAATCTCTACTTTAACACAAGCTTTGAATCTAGCATAGTCAACCGGAATACCGTCGAATACTTGTAGTTTAGGTCTTTCCATCTTGGTAAGGGTAGGCAACATTTTCTCTGAAAGGCTTTCAGTTGGGGCTGTCTCTTGTTGAATTGTAGGCTGTGAAAGGTTTGGGATAGCATTCTCAGCTCTAAATCTATTAGCCTGTTCAGGGTTATACACCGTCTCATTTATAGTTCCCTGTATGTCCCTTGCTCTAACACTATGTACCTGATTATCCCCATTTGTCCCTGGAATGGTGTGTGTGGTATTCTGCCTATCTAACGGTTGCTCTGGCCTACTCAACAAATTATCCTGATTGTCATTCCTTGTTTCATTCTGGCCTAGCCGCATAACACGATCTTCCAGTGTTTCGCTGCCGAGTAACTCGACTAGTCCTTGTCTCATTGATCTATTCTCTTCTTCCGGCATTCATTCCTCTTCGTTCACAGCATGTTCATATCCAAGTTGAGACTTTCTAGCTTGCAGCTGTTGAAATTCTCGCAATTTTTCCGCCTATAGACGCTTTTGTTCTTCTTCTTGCAGACGCTGTTTCTGTTCCAATATTTGTAGCTCATTTTCCTCTTCCTGACACTGTACACTCTCCTCTTCCAACAACTTTAAACGAAGAGCTGCCTTTTCAGCTTCGAATTTCTTTGATAATATTGCCGCTTTTCGGGCAGTTAAAATACTGGATACACCCGATTGTTTTGACTTAGTCTTAGATCTAACTGACATATTAGTTTCATCTCCTTTGTTTACATCTGTACTAGGCTGTTTCTCTGCCATCCACCATGATTGATCTTGATTTGTTATGGATTCTAAATGCGTAATAATACTCTCACCGTCCTTACTTTTACTCATTTAGTACACAGGAACAACAATAGAATTTGATCTTCGACCCACTGTATTAAATTAACTCGATGTATATTTAACAATTATACCATGAGCTCGAGTCGTATATGAGCTGATAGCCGACGAGGTGCGTAGCACCGAGTCGGCTATCAGCCATACACGACGAGAGCGAATGGTATAATTGTTTTATAATATAGTCTAATATAGTCATTAACTGAAGCAGTAATTAATTATTCACTGTTACAATGTGTTGACAATTTTTTCGGCCAAACACCGCTTGAAAATTTGAAATACTTTTGTTTTACAACTCGAAGACGAAGTGAAAGAAATGGTTTTAGAACCTCTATATATTTCACAGGAAAGCTCAGATATATTATAGAGATGTTTGGTACTATAGTAAGTGCTTGTTGACTGCAAATTCATTTGTCGTTCATTGCAAACTTTTCTGAACAATTTATATTCTCAATAAACATGTTTTTTCGCTGTTGTTTCGGTATTAATTCTTTAAAAAACTTGTATTTAAACTAATTTCTACGTAATAAATGTATTTTGCTAACCTGTCAATTTTTTTTTGAGAGTTTTTCCTTGTACTATTATGTTTTTCAAAGCGAATATTTTCCTTTTTCTGCTTCGCAAAACTCATGTAGTTTTTGGACCGCCATCTTGTTTTTCGCTACTCGCCGTATATGAGCTGATATACGGCGAGTAATTCAACCAGTCAGATTGCAGAACAGCTCATATACGGTGGATGACTATATTATAAATATATATATATATATATATATATATATATATATATATATATATATATATATATATATATATATATATATATATATATATATATATTCAATAGATTGTATGTACATAAACTGCACAGTTTATTGTTTTCCAAGGATTTAAAATAATTACACTGTTATAAAATCTACTCACAAATAGATCGACGTATTTGATGTCTCTCGGGCGAAGTAACTCACACAACTTTCACAATATACTGTAACTCGATGTAGATTTATTGACTGGCTAGACTTGATTTTAGTACATCAAAATTCACGCGAAGTACACTTGAAACTCTCTCAATTCTAGTCTTAATCCAGGCTCGAATAGGACCAAATGTCGCAGGGCGACCAAACACACTCACACGAAATCAAAATCAACAAAACCAACAAAACATTGTAATATCAATCGAAACAAATCCCCAAAATACTCATAAAATGCACGTAAAACCGCCAAAATACTAAAATCGCCCAAAAGTAAACAATGTGCGAATACTGAATTCTTTTGCCGGGTGTTCCTCACAGTTTCTCAGGGCTCGCGCCAGTTCTCGGTTCCCAAGATGCGGGAACACATATATCGACGAAAAACTCAGATCGTAATTATTGTCTATGAAAGTAATTTGTTTCAAACCTCAAGTAAGAATATGCGTATATAAGGGACCGATCATTATTAGGGACCTTAAGCTGCACGTACGACGGCAACGCGACGACGACAGCCAAAACAAACTTCTTCAAATAAATTATTGTGAAGAGTTGTTGTCTATTATCCGCTGCATGTATATATGAATTGAGTTCAGTTTGAAGAGATTAAAACAAAGGCTTCATGGTTAAAAACGCTTCTGCTGAGCAAATTTGTAGTTTCACTTGTCGCGTCTTGACCGGCATGTTTGCGTTGTACACGAGACGTGAAAATCTCTGGTTTGCCGTTGTCCTCTAACTCCCGTGGGGCTTTTAATTATTCGTTTCTTTTGTACTAGATCAGGAATATATTGTGTGAATATCCGTTGTCGTCGCGTTGCTGTCCTGTTTGCTTAAGGTCCCTATTTATGGAAGGGGGAGGGCAAAAATAAGGGGGAGGGGCATATGTATAAACAAATCACTAGAAGGGGGGGGGGGCTATTAATTTATTTTCAAGAAAATGAGGGGGGTTGCATTTAAATATGAAAGATTTATTACTGTATATATGATCACACCATCTTACATAACAAGTTATTGTCTTTGTCTATTGCTCATATTTGTTGAGGAAATATTGTTATAATACTTTGATATTTCTAAACCAGACAGTCGAAATTCAAAATACCTGCCCATGTGGCACGTGAAGTGTCACGCATTTAATCAAACATTATATAAGCCGCGTTTACACTACATTCATTTTTGGCACGGCACTCTTAAATAATGGCACGCGGACCATTTTCTTGAAAAATCAGCATCGTTTACACTACAAATTTTGGCGGGCTTTCAAAATGCAAAAGCACCCCTACTCTTGAATACGGCCCGCTTAAATACTGCGCCCTTAAATCAAACTTCAACGGCTAAATTCTTAAAGTAAAATTCGCGGGCATTTTAAAAAAATGGACGATGTAAAAACAGCAAACTGGGCACTTGTTTGGTATTTTTATGTGACAAAACGGAGACGTTTACGCTTGGCAAAATTTAGCGATAACCGTATACGTAGAATAGCGCTTCACAATATAAAAAGAAAAGGTAAAAAAGAATTCAATGAAACTGTACTAGCTTTTTTTCATCGCCAAAGAACTAGAACACTGTGGATGCCACGAACACAGATCTGGTTTAAGATGGTGGACGACACCTACAACGACGAGCTATGGTATGCTAACTTCAGAGTTACGAAACAAACGTTTACATTTATTCTCAGAAAGGTTGAGCCCGAAATAGCTCATGAAAATACACATCTTCGAGAAGCAGTTTTAGCGAAGCGACGGCTGACAGTTACATTGTATTAGATAGCTTAAGATCTACGACGTCGACGTCAGCTAGGACGTCAGGGCTAAGCAGAGGACTGGGAATAAACTTCCACTTAAGATTCACGACGTAGACATTTAAACTATAAATATTTACATTCTTTTAAAAATGAATTTAAAAGAGACGTGTGAATCCATTACCGTTTGTTATGCTCTTGTATCCAAGACGGTAAAGCTCTTCTTGTGAGGACGTTTGGTGGACGTCGAGCAAATTGAGAGAGACACATGCACATTTCGAAAACTATTACCAATTTACTTCCGCTTGCCGCCCTAAATATTTGACGTCGTAGTCACTTGAGCTAATAGCAACCTTAAGCAAACAAGATAGCAACGCGACGACGACGGCTATTCACACAATGCTATTCTTCATCTCGTACAAAAGAAATGAATAATTAAAAGCCCACGGGAGTTAGAGACGTTGTGTTAGGGCTTTTTACAACGGCAAACCAGAGATTTTCACGCACATTTTCAGAGATTTTCACAACGCAAATATATCAAGACGCGACAAGTGAAATTACAAATTTGTTCGCAGAAGCGTGTTTAACAATAAAACCTTTGTTTTAGTCTCATCAAACTGAACTCAATGCATATACACATGCAGAATGGATAATACACAACAACTCTTCTTCGCAATAATTTATTTGAAAATGTTTGTTTTGGCTGTCGTCGTCGCGTTGCCGTTGTACATGTTTAATTAAGATCCCAATCTACTTATTTAGGACGACGTCCTATTCCCAGTCCTCTG